AAAAAAAAAAAAAAAGATTCATATAACAAGGATAGATACTAATTTCATGATTGTTCCGTTAAGTTATCCGTTTTTTACAGTTCGAACTTGATGGGCTTCCCATGGAAAACCAGTCAGATTTACGGTTGCCATAGTTTTATCTTTGTGCTATTGGTTCATTGATCTGGTTGCTCTATCTCTGTGCTATTCATTTCATTGTTCTTACGGCCATATAGATTTTTTATTTTTAAATTTTCCATTTTTAATTATTTTTATGTTCATCCTTTGTCACTAGCAATCATGTATAGTGTTGAAAACAATGTTTTTCTTTTGTCTTGTAGGAAGATATTCTTCATGCCAGGGTTCGGACAACCGGTGTTGTAGAAATCCAGTTCAGGTGATTGCTGATTCACTTACTTTGCAGGGGGGGGGGGGGGGGAAACAAAGATAGATGGTTCTGTCATCAATTCTATGATTTACCTGCATTTCTAATTGGATAATTTGGATTGTGCCCATCTATCATCCCCAACCTTAAATCCTGCTATCTGACACCCTACTACTCCTTTCCAATTCACTTTGCACCAAAGATTTCTCATCCTGTTGAGAAGCATTTTTCATTTATATCATGGTATGCCCTGTAATATCTGTATTTTGCAAGAACAAGGATGGTGGTGAAGTAACATCGAATGCTAACATGCTATTTCCACGTGCTTTTGACTTTATATAAAGCATTAGCAAAATTATATTGGTTGGGGAACTGGATCTAGGTATTCTTTTATTCTTTCTTGCAGTTGAGATATTTTATTTGTTGCAAGATAGAAATGAATGGAAATTTAAATGCTTAATCTGATTTGATGAGAATACATGCAAGAGAATTAATAAAAGGAAACTGAACATTGACCTTTGCTGACTTCTTTGGTAGGTTATTTTTCATGTCATTCTCAAACTTCACTATCTTGATAACTATCAGTGCATTATGTCTTGATGTGACCTTGGTTATCACTCATCGTATGCTTGTCATTCTCATGCATTTTGATCCCCAAAATGAGTAATTCTATTTTTTATCTGCACATCAGCATCATGGAAAGTGGAAGGGTTGTGGTGCAAATGACTGTTTTGTGAAGCAATCTCTAATTATTATGATGTCTGCAGCCCAGTTGGGGAGAATAAAAAAAGTGGAGAGGTATATAGGCTTTTTGACGTGGGGGGCCAGAAAAATGAAAGAAGAAAATGGATTCATCTATTTGAGGGTGTTTCAGCTGTGATATTCTGTGCTGCTATAAGCGAGTATGACCAAACTCTGCACTCAGATATTTGTGTAAATAAATTCTCTTCTGCACGAATGCACACACATAAAAAATGTCACTGCAGCTCGTCATGAGAGTACAGTGCCTTGTGTTACGAATAATTCTTTCTTTACCCGACATCTGGGTACCCTTTAATCATGGACATTACGCCATAGCCTTTGTTATCAGTTCAGCATGCTTAATTGAACTTGATTACATTGTGTGTTTCAGGTATGACCAAACTCTCTTCGAGGATGATAACAAGAATCGGATGGTGGAGACTAAGGAACTCTTTGAGTGGGTCCTAAAGCAACCCTGTTTTGAGGTTCCATCCATGAAATACTACGAAACTCTGCTTTATGATAACATATTTATGATGCATTACCTTATCACTGATTTATTTTTTTGTCTCCCTAGCAGAAAACTTCGTTCATGCTATTTCTCAACAAATTTGACTTGTTCGAGAATAAGGTTCTGAAAGTAAGGACATTTGAGAATTTCACTTGTTACACTTGGGAAGACACTTATATGAGATTGGGTTATAAAACTAACTTTAATTCTTTTAATTCAGGTCCCACTGAACGTATGTGAATGGTTCAAAGATTACCAGCCAGTTTCTAATGGAAAACAAGAAATTGAGAATGCATATGAGTAAGCAGATTTTTTGTATTTTCTTTTCAGAATTGAAAAGTTGTCACATTAGCTTGCTCTTAGGAAGTTTCGTGCCCATGCATCTACTTTTATCATAGCTATCTTTTGATTATTTGCTTGAGCCTCTGCAAAAATTGGTTTCTGCTTTTAGCAGTCTTCTTGTGCCCACTTTTGGTTATTAACATGCATGCTACGGAATATAGTTGTTTTTGCATGCACGTACGAACAAATTCAAATTCTTTTAGTGCTTGTGCTCTTATATCATTCATAAAATGTTTTCATAATCAGGTTTGTGAAGAAAAAATTCGAGGAGCTGTATTTCCAGAGCACTTCCCCTGATCGTGTTGACCGTGTCTTTAAGATCTACAGAACCAGTGCCTTAGACCAGAAACTTGTCAAGAAGACTTTCAAGCTGGTAGACGAGACTTTGAGAAGGCGAAACCTATTTGAAGCAGGTTTGTTGTAATGCCTGTTAAATTCTGAGGATAAAATGAGTTTCACAGTTCTGGTTTCTGAGTTTCAGACACTGAGCTGCTGGTTCGTAATCCACAGGTTATATAGCTTGATTTTTTTTATGGTGCTGCTGTATGGGCCTGATAATATTAATCGTTGTTTTCTTATCAACTTACAACCCATTTTCTTCTCCACGAAAAGAAAAATGAAACAAGGATGAAAAATCCCATACTAGGATGGAACAATTACCTTATGACACTATGTTCTCTGGTATTTATGTCTGTAAATGAGGGATACCTGTCTGTAAATCACAATCATTTGGAGTCACATTTACTATATACTCTTAATTTGACGCCGAGGAAATGTTGGAAGTATTGTTTCCCAATGTTTCTGTTTCACACTTTTTCTTTATCGTCATAAACTAATCTCTCGCAGCATGAAATGTGGAGCTAGCTATTAATTTCCAAATTTCGAGTAGTCTGCTTGGTCCATTCTGTGATATCGTGTTCCCTCTATTTTATTCGTGTTAATGGATTAAATAACCGGCACCTAAAGGTGCTGCTGTTGCACAATATTTTGTGTTAGTATATTATTTCCCAGAGGAAATTGGGAGAGTTATTTTAAAATAGACAAAATAGGAATGTGGAGCGTGCTAATTTGTATTCTTCGTGGTTTGGACGAGATTTCTGGCATTTTTGGAATTAGAACATGTTATGCTTGAAGTAATTATACTATTAATCATAGAAAAGAATAAAAAAAAAGTAGATATAAATTTGCTCTTCTCTATATTTGAAGGTATCGGTGTGAATTTTTGGCTATATTATCAGGTTTAGCTTGATGTTTAACATTGCAGTTCCCGGAGGCTGTTGAGTTCTTGGCCACTATGTTGAGTTTGCAATATAGTGCACATATGAACATAATAATGTGCAGAACTAATTTGATTCATGGCCTTGACTTTACCGATGAGTGAACCAAAAAATGTGTTTGGTTTAGAATAAAGTTGTAAATGAACCGAGCTGAGGTCGAGCTCTTGATGCTCAAGCGCTTATCGAGTGAGTTGAGTTGAGATCGGCTCGTGTGAATATATGATAAAAGTTCAAATTATTATGTAAAATTTCCTATCCATTGAGTCCAACCTGGCTTGTTTATCACACGATCTGACCCAAACTCGAGCGCTAATGAGCCAGTGATAAGCTTACTTAAGGCTTGTATAGTGTTGTTTGGCAGCTTTAGTTTAGAATAGGGAAATTAAAAAAAATTGAAATTAAATCTTTGTAAATCTTTGTTGTCCATTTCAAATGGAGCTGGAAGAGTCATTGTTGACAATTCTCCTGGCATAGTGCTAAAAATGGACTAGATCAAAATTGCTCGATTAAATTCTAGTGCTTTTTCTCTTAGTGAAATTTCTAGAAAAAAATATATCAAATGACGCAATGCACCTTAGGTCGCTACGGAAACAGCCTCCTTGTATAATTACAAGATTAAGGTTTGCGTACAATTGACCCCCCAAACCCCAACCAGTTGGGAATATACTGGGTATGTTGTTGTTTTTTTTTTTTT